AAAATTGCTCACTTCACATGCTTACGGGTGGATTGAACCTAATTTGGTAGCATTAAAACCAATTTCCTACTGAGAAAACATGTCCCAGAAGATGGCATGGGTTTTTATAATTATTAATAATATTTGATATTCCAACGTCACCTTTTATCCTGAGATCAATCCCATGCACATGGGAACAGATAAGCTCCAAGGAAACAGATAATATCAACACAGTAAGTCACAATGCAGCTCTGTCTTCCATGTTCCAAGGGCGCTCAGTCGTGGGTCTCTTCTACCTTAGAAGACAGTGGATAGAGTTGCAAAGCAGTGATTTTTTTTATTAGCTCCTACTGTAAGGAGTCTTAGGGTAGAGTACAGGCCACTTTTTGTTGTTGTTTTTTGTACACAGCTCCTGTGATGATGGAGATATTCTACAGCTACGCTGTCCATTCAGGGTAGCCACTAGCCACATGTGGCTGCTGAGCACTGGAAATATGGTGAGTGCTACTGAGGGGCCACATTTCTCTTTTCATTAATTTGAATTAATTTTCATTGAACTAGCCACCTGGCTAGTGACCATATTATATGGGACAACACTGTTATAGTGGCTGGTGATTTATTAAAAAAACACACACACATTCCCCCCCCCAAAAAAATAAAGCTCTGTTTTCATCATCAGTAAGAACATAATGAGGACTAGTGTATGTGAATGCTTCTGAAATATTCTTTTATTTTTAAATATGTTTTTATTGATTTAGAAAGAGGAAGGGAGAGGGAGAGAGAAACATGAAAGATGAGAGGATCATGGATGGGCTGCCTCCTGCATGCCCCCAGTGGGTATCACTCTGCCACCCGCATGTGCTCTGAGGGAGTGGAACCCTGGTTCATGGGTACACGCTCAACCACTGAGCCACACAGGCTGGGCTGAAATAATGCTTCAGGCTATAAAGATTATAAAAGAAGTCCTATATTTTACATTTGGAGAACTTTTATTCCACCCTTCCCCCACCCCATTAAATTTTGATTTAAAAGATGCCTGTGGAATATTATGGTAACATAGAGTCATTTCTAAACAAAGAACACTTATGAAAGATGTCCTTCAATGAAATCTTATTTCATTCAAGTAGGTGTCCAGCAATGACAGACACTAGCCTATCCTCTCAAAATTGGAATCCCAGTGACTGATTTTCCAAAGGAAGACACTCACCTCCACTCATGTAAGGGAATGAGGGGAGAGGGTTTTATGTTTTGGGTGTCCATGAAGTAATACAGTTTTCAGATAAACTATTAATTTGGCACTTTTCTCTCTAAAACCGCCTCCGTAAGATTTCCCTAGTTTGTAGGTGAAAATTTGGAAATAAACTTACTTAAGGTGAAGAAACAGATTGAAAAAGATTTAATTACTTGTCGCTTAGGTCCGCCCTGTAACTTAGACCGTTACCAGGGCTGGAGACAGAGGACTCAAGTAGCCCTTGGTTGGAACCATCTGTCGAGGAAATGTGGCATATGTCTGCTTTGTTTACTCAACAAGCGAGTGTAAACTGATACACTGAAGCAAAAACCCATGTTTGGTGCGACTGTGTGTGTGTGTGTGTGCGTGTGAGGTGGGGGTGCTTGGTGTGGGAATCAGTCTCCCCACCCCTGCCCCCGAGAACACAGGAGCCGAGGCCCTCGGGTGTCCTGAGCGGGGTGGGGTGGGGGGCGCAGACACTCTCGACAATGCCCTGGG